TGATGCAGAATGAAAGTGGCTGAAGTTGTTAAGTTAGCACTTTAATCCCTGAAGTAGTAGTATTATATTTTGTTTAATTGCACTTTAGTCATCTTTGTATGAGCTGGCATAGCTCTGTCAGAAGCAGTAGTAGGTGAGGACACTGTTGCAAGCATACTCTATGAATCAGCTAGGGTTGTGGTCCTATATATATTGTACTGATGAAAATGAAATGGGATTATCTTGTTTTGCCATATATCTCTTAGTTGTAAGTTAGCTTAGCAACTAGTTGTCTTCCTCATTTTCTATTCCCTGAATTTCCCCTTTTTCTACTGTTCCATTGATTATTGTTCATCAATATTACTGTTCCATTGAATCTGCATTATACATTGTTGCGTAACAGGGGATTTCCCGTGGAGTTCTTTCCGGTTTTATTTGCAATCCCTCGCATGGCTGACTACTTGTCACATTATATTGTTGCGAGTCCCTTGACGATCCTGATACCAAGATAATGAGACCAGCACATGAGGTAACTTAACTATGGGCAAGCGCAAATCAGTCTACTTATGAGCGTGTACTAACTAGTGTTTGAATAGAATGCACACCTCGTCTCATGATTTGCATTTGCACACATCGTCTCATTGATCATATTGAAGGAAATATGTTCATTAAGTTGGTAATGATCAGTTTGTAGGTAGAAAATTATTTTGAGATTGATACCTTGTGGAATTAGTCGATGTGCGTGTAAGTTGACCCCTCGGACATCACAGTTATAGCAATGCAACGTCTTTTTTGATTACTTCTCCATAAATAAAAATACAAATAATATTTGAGGTTTCCAAAACGTGTACTTTCCTTTTCTCATCAATTTAGGCTTCCCACTCACTTATGCTTTTCCTAATCAGTTTAGGTTTGCTAATAATATTTTATTATAAATAAACTTGAAAGGGGGTAAGTCTCCCAATATTGATTTCTTCTCTCAATACTTGCAATATGTTTTCAACAGGGTTTGTATGCCACAACTGCTTCAAGAACTCTTTTGTTAGCGTTGCACCAATTCCCCCAATTGCTTCTTCTTCTTCTTCTTCTTTACCCTATTTAACCATTCACTTTACTTTCAGTATAATACATCAATATTGGTACATAAGACCCAATATTAATGATCAAGCATTCGAATACCGGGGTGCAATACAGGACTACTGTTCAACCACGTCGACCCAAATTATTATTCATCTTTCCGATACCATGTTCTATGAGAAACTCAATCACGCTATATCACAAGTGTTTATGCCTTTTAAGCACGAGTTTGAAGATCAACAACACGGTATAGTTGAAGAAACAACTAGTAAGTTGCAAAGCATCACGACTACTGAGATGTCAGAGGTATGTGTGCATGTGGAATTACAGATTGATCACTATTGCGATGGAAGAATTTTGTTATCATCATCCATGGATGGAATGGTGCCGGCAAGTAAATCATCAATAGAGTTGCTAGAGCCGATGGAAGCTGATGAAAGAAATAGCAACGATGAGTGTTTGGTATGTCTAGATGAGCTAGGGGAAGAAACTGAAGTAGTGCGCTTGCCTTGCTCTCATATGTTTCATGCTGAGTGTATTACCAAGTGGTTAGAGAATAGCCATTACTGCCCGCTTTGCCGCTTTGAGATGCCCACTAATTAGACAAGACTGCATAAAGGATCAACAATCTAAAGCCAAAAACAATTTTGCATTGCTAGATGTATAATAATTAGTTGATATTCTTTCATGTATTTGGATTAGGAACTTAATACTAAATGACAAAGTTAAGGATATATCAAACCATTTTCCCTTCAATTTTAGTAACAAATTAACCTTGACATTGCCAACTTCTTTGATAGCAGAAATGATATTGAGCTGATCAGCTAATAGAGAATGACCAACAGTAGAAAACACAACATCCACTTGCTTTATGGCCTTCACTAAACTCTCATGATCATACAAAGCACCCTGCATTAATTTAACCATCAAATATTGTTCATCTAAATCTTTTTACATTTGAAAAGAAAAAACAAATTTATGTGCATACATGGAGGAAATGTGACACCAAAACTCTTGAAAGTATATCTATGAGTTTGGTTTGATTATTTTATTTTTTCTCTGATGGGCACTCATGTATATCTGATGCTTAGTTCTAGCTCACAAAAATCACGAAAAACTCAATCAATACAATAAGCCAACTATCCCTCAATTCCAAACTAGTTAGGTTCAACAAATACAAATCCATACAGATAGATGTTTAGAAGGTAGATGTTCTTCCTCATCTTTTGTAAAGTTCACCTGCTAAGTCAGTACTTATTTTGTGTATGTAACACGAAAGCTGTTCATAATTTCGACATCAAGATGGAGCTTATAGACTTTCTGCATAGTTGAAGAGAAGATGTTTTTATTCTTTTTTGGCAACTTTGTAGCTCCCTCGTATAAAAGGGCAGCTGGTGCTCAAAGCATCCTGCATTAACAGGATCCAGGGAAGGTCCTCACCCCAAGGGTACACACAGAATCCCTCTTACTGCTATATTCCTGTTCGTTCGAGCCACTTCATTTCAATACAAGAAGGAAACAATAGATAGCACTAGAACCAAGAGATAGTCAACTCCCTCAATAAACACAACACATTTTCTTTTTGGAAAGACCCATATATATTAACAGAAACATCATGGATTGTCTGGATCAATGAGAACAAATTCTAGTAAACTACAGATTAAAGACACAAAAATCAAACTAATTAAAGACCAGAGTCCAACCATATACTTGCTTTGTTCATTTCCCCCAAAAAAACAAATTTCTCTTCTTCACTAGTCTTATTAGGACAAAATATAACCCAACAGAAGAATAAAGATTGAAACTTTATACATAATACAGCTAGTAATAAACTCAAAATTGAAAAGAGACAAAGAACCCAAACATATCCAACTACAGATCACATGATAACAACTACTCTCCAAGTTAAAAATCACCCACATCAATTAAAACCTATTTGTTTCCAATACAGATCTCATATCAAAAAATACAAAAGATTGAGAACCCACCTGAAATTAAGGATGAAAATCTTGAGTGATCTGAATACAAATCTACTATACGATGTTTCAAGAAGTGCTTACAAATTCGCTTAAATTTGCTAATTACCATCACAAATACACAAGAAAAACACAATGAACTGAAAGGTCTCACTCATTGATATACTAATTTAAATGATTTTTTTTCATACAAACAATTGTATACACTGTATGTTCGAGCATAATGCTGCGGAAACATATACTATAGTTATGATTAATAGGAAGGAACTCTACATATTCACACATAGTAATTGAGTATCTCATCCACTGGTGTATATTTAACATCAGGATAAACTTCTGATGCCTCTACTCCAAAAGATGGATCGATTTCAAAATTAGTCTGTTCACCCTTCACAAAAGCAGGGCAAGATATCGATAATGCCAAATTCAATGGAAACGAGGCTTCTGCAAGAAAGAAATACAAACAACAAGTTACGTACGCCCCATGGACAACATACACTTGACACTAAAGCTAGAATGAGATTGTGTTTACCTTGTATGTTGTTGAGAAGTTGTTCCTCTGGTACATATATTCTTTCAAGATTCTTTCCAGTTTTGTTCTCCCACAAAGATACCAACTCGTTTAATGTAATTAAATTGTGCGGAGGCTTGACGTAGAGGATTTTGTTAAGCGTTCTTGGATCATCGACAGCCTTTATAGTATAGATACCAATGTCTTCTTCCTTGTTAAAAATAACTGTATATACAAAAGGAGTTAGTAAGAAAATATGTCGTATGAATAATTTGAATCATCAAATTTGAGTTTACCTTTAGTATTGCCATCTCCTAAAATGACAACTTTGTCTTTGGGAGGACCTTCAGGTCCAAGTTGTGCCAAATTTGGAAGAAAATAATGAGCACAATAGAAGCTAGCAACATAAGTGAATGGTATTCCTTCAGCTTCAACAGCGCGACGAATTTGAATTTTAGTATTAAATGTTGTTTTAGCAGGCTCAACGGTATGCACACGATCTATATCATTCCCAAATTCAGAGGGAAAGAATCGCTGAAAGCAAGAGGCAATAAGAAAGTGTCATATATCTGAGATACATATATCATTCAACGTATCTCGAGACACCAAAATTTGATAAGATAGGTAATATTGTGAACTAGGGTGTATCTAATTAGAAATTAGCTTCTAAAATAGTTGAATTTATATGAATTTCCAATTTAGTATTAAACTGGTTTTTAGCCCCCGAATATACTTAACCCAATCATATCCCCATTACTTTAATTTGAATTTATTGTATATGTTTGAGGTCTACTTTTACTTTTTCTACGTATCCACTTTTCTTGTATCAGTGTCTTATAAGTTTGATGTTGTACAATTTTCACTGCATTAGATCAACACATGTCAAATAGTGCAAATAATCACTACTTCCTATGTCTCAATTTATGTGGGACTTTTTTGTTTTTTGAGAATCAGACTGGGAATTTGCGTACGGATTCTTCAATTTTTTTGAAATAAAATTTATATATTTGTAAACTACGTAAAAAGTACTAAAAGTCACAATAATTGATAATTCAAAATGTTTAAAAGATCTATGAAAAACTTACGATAAAAAATAAACTTGTTTGAATCTCGAAATTCGAAAAGTGCTACATAAAATGAGACGAAGGGAGTACTAATTTAATTACATAATAAATTTTCAATACTTGTCAAAAGCTTTAAAAACAAATTGATTTGTGAAATTCATTGGGTTAACATTTTGACTAAGTTGATATACGAAGGAAAACTTGAACATTTTTTTAATTATAAAAGTTTTCATACTTGTCATATTGCATTATTAAAAATGATATCAGACAAAATTGAGTAAAGATGACTAGATAAAAGTTTTCATATTTGAGTGTAACAGTAAGTTATATGTAAGTCATTTGTAATGGTCCTCGTATACATGAACCAATTTCATAACGAGGGTATATCAATTCGAAATGACAAAGTTAAGGATATATCAAGTCATTTTCCCTTTAATTTTAGGAACAAATTAACCTTGACATTGCCAGCTTCTTTGATAGCAGCAATGATGTTGAGCTGATCAGCTAAAAGAGAATGGCCAACAGTAGAAAACACAACATCCACTTGCTTTATTGCCTTCACTAAACTCTCATGATCATACAAATCACCCTGCATTAATTTAACCATCAAATATTGTTCATCTAAATCTTTTTATATTTGAAAAGAAAAAGGAAAATTTATGTGCATACATGGAGGAAGGTGACACCATAACTCTTGAAAGTATCTATGAGTTTGGTTTTGGTAGGATCGGAAAGAGTGGATTCTCTGACGAAGACAAATGTATGGTGACCAGCTTTAGCACTAGCTTCGACGATGAACTTTCCGATGTAACCAGTACCGCCGATGAACAGAATCTTACTTTTTTCAGCCATTGAATGGAAAAGCTTTGATGAGAGAGAGAGAACTTAGTAATAGTGAAGGCTGAAGCAAATTGAGAGTGATTTGTAACTAGTAACGTGCAGGGTGTTTATAAAATAATATTTCTTTCGTCCAAGAAAGAATGACCTAATTATTACTTGATATAGGGCTTAAGAAGATTAAAAAAAAGAACTTTTTAATTTTGAAATCTTAAATTAAAGTTATGTCAAATATATCAATGTCCCCTTTAATTTTATATAAGACATTGTTGCTAAAAACATATTTAAAAAGAAATTAAGTACTCCCTCTGTTTCACAAAGAATGGTAAAGTTTAAAAAAATAAAGAAGACTTTTGAATCTGTGGTCCTAAATTAAAGTTATGTCAAATGTACAAAATTGCCCTTTAATCTTGTGGCCTTAAACATGCCACGTGGAAAGCTAAACTTAAAATGTTACCAAAAAAAGAAAGAGGTCATTCTTTTTTAAACTGATTAAAAAAGAAAGGAGGTCATTCTTTGCGAAACAGATGGAGTAATTTTTAAAAAAAAAATGATGAAAGTAATGTTGAGATAGACACTTTACTTTGTCATTATTGACCGTTGAATAACCCAACTTTCATTGTGATAATTTAAATCCTTCAACTTAACTCCATGTTAAAGAGCGTGTTTGGATTGCCTTATTTTAGGTGATTATAAGTCAAAATAATTTTAAATTATTGGGATTGCCTTACTTTAAAGGCGAAATGGTCTGATGAGTTTGTATTCTAAATCCTCTTACTTTATACTTTGTCAACTAGACCCTTAAACTTATTAAAACACAATATTTGAAATCCCTCTAACCATTGACCAAACTTATGTGGCATAAATATTACTGAGTTGGAAAAGTGTGTAAATGCACTCGCTTCCGAATGCGTCATTACACTATTTTCTATTTAAAAATATATTTTTTTTGGAAAACTTTCTTCTCTTCTTCTTCAACAAAATCACCCACCACATTCATTCACTTTTTTTTCTTCGAAATCACCCGTCATATATATTTTTCTTCTTCTTCTTCTTCTTCTTCAATCTACTCTCCTCTTTACAACAAATCAAATCCCACACCTAATTTCTTTTTTCAGCCCCCTTTATCTAAATTTTTAATGTTTTTTATTTTAAAAGTTGAAACCATTATTTGTGTTGGATTTAAAGAGAAGGTATGATATGGATTAAGGTAAAGAGTAATGGTGGGTATTGAAAAAGTTGAAAACTCCATTGATAAGTTTGAGAAAACTTGAAGAACAACAAATGAGTCTTATGAATTTGTAAAATTAATTTAAATTTGTGATTGTGGCTAGTAGGTTTTGTGTTTATGAACCTCTAGTTGAAATTTCAAGTCAAATAAAGAAAAAATTCATCTATTTGACATGAATTTGGTGCTCAAATTGTGAGCATATATGGATGTTGAAGAACATGACTATTCAAAAATTTCTAAAAGTTAAAATATTTGGGTTTTTTTATTTTCTTAATATTTAATTTCTTACATGTCATTGGAAAAATGACATGGAATTACACATGTAAGAGGTTGGATTACACACACAATGATCTGATGAGAAAAAGGTTTAAAATATTGTGTTTTAATGAGTTTAGTTGACAAAATGTTAAGTAGGAGGGTTCAGAATACAAACGTATACAAGTATAAGGGTCCATCAGACCATTTCGCCTATTTTAAACCCCTTTCTCATCTAATGAGTGTGCGTGTAGTACACTCGTTTTACACATGAAATTTCATTTCATTTTTTAATAACACATCATAATTATTAAAAAAAATTCAAAGACACATCGGAAATTAAATATTTTTAAAAAAATAATAAAAAAAAAATACAATTTTCTCTCTCTCACTGTAATCATGTCTCTCTTTCCCACTTCACCTTCTTCTTTCCCACCCCCGCCCCTCTCCCAAAAAATGAAAAATACTCCGTCTGCTTCCACTATTTTCACTTCTTTGCACCTAAAATCTCTTTCAATCACAAAATAATATTATTCATTGTAATGTGATAAATTGTAATTAATTATTCGTATACTTTAAAAGAGGGTTTTATTTATTTTGATTTGGTAAAGACATATATCAAGAAAACTTCAAGTTGAAAATTCAAGCAATAAATCTTGAAAAATTAATATTATAAAACTAGCGAATGAGTATATTTTCTAGCAAAAAAATTGTTAATTTTTTTTTATGATGGTGATGATGGGGTGTCCATCAAAAAAGGAAGAAAAAAGTAGCATTGAGTGAGGTATGAAATAGAAGATCGAGGGAGTGATGAACGAGGACGATTGCAGAAGAAGAAGAAGAAAAGAGAAGGATAGGGGAAGGGGTGGGGTGGGGGTGGGGCTGTGTTAGGGCTGAAATTTTGTTGCTAAAAACAGATTTAAAAAAAAATAAGTAAACAAAATTTTAAAATGAAGAAAGTAATGTTCGACACTTTACTTGGTCACTATTGACCGTTGAATAACCCAACTTTCATTGTGACAATTTAGATCCTTCAACTTGACTCACGTTAACAAAATTTTAAAATGAAGAAAGTAATGTTCGACACTTTACTTGGTCATTATTGGCCGTTGAATAGCCCAACTTTCATTGTGACAATTTAGATCCTTCAACTTGACTCATGTTTAAAGAGCTTGGATTGCCTTATTTTAGTTGATTATTAAGTCAAAATAATTTTAAACTTTTTGGATTGCCTTAGGTGATTATAAATAATTTTTCAAGTATTTTTGTAATGTTTGATTAAAATAATAATGTTTTTTTAAGTTGAAAGTTATAAATCACTATTGTTAATTTATGACTAAAAAGTCACAAGCTCTAAGCAACTCTCATACAAAATAGAAAAACGTTTAAAATATCTTTGAAGTATTGAAAATGGTATAAAAATATCCCTCATTCACCTATTGGCTTCAAAATACCCTTGTCATCCATCTCTGGGTCTAAATTTGACTACTTCTTTAACCGATTTTCATTTAGATTATTTAAATATTTTTTTTAAATAAGTGGCGCTCAACCATTGGTTATAATTTAATTAATTAATATAATTTATAAACCCACCCATTACACACCCATTACTAATTAAACCTGCTCCAAATCCGACCCAATTAATACACCCTCCCCAAATTATAATTACCCCCACCTATTAAACAAAACCCTCCACCCTTCGTTCCGAACATCTTGTTCTTCTTCCCCTCTTCTTTTTTCTAAAATGTATATTTTTTTCGTTCTTTGTTTTTCTTTCTTAGTTCACTTTTTTCAGTTTAGTTTTTACTTCTTTTATTATTATTATTATTATTATTATTGTGTTCAAATTATTTTTTACATTTAGTTTTTAACTTTTTCTTAATGGTTTTTTGTTAACATCTTTTGTTTGTGTGTTCAATTTTTTTTTGTACTTCTATATTATAATCTACACCAACTTCAAAAAATTTGGATCCGCCACTGTCGAACACCCAAAACAATATACATGGATCCGTCTCTGCTCGTCTCTGGCCTCAGGGTTGACCTCTACCTCAATCGTCAGTCCCCAGTTGGGGCCCTAAAACATGTGACAGTACAATATACATGCATCGTTAAAATATTTAGATGAACCAAAGAGATCAGCATGTACGGTCAATACATTCGATTTCTGACGCATAAATTTCTTTCTCATGACAGATCATCATCATCTCCCTCATCAAAGCAAGACTGACTAGGCAGCTAGAACAAAAAATTAAGTCAAATCTGATATAGCTAAAAATATACAGAGATTGAAGAGACACATAATGGAGTAATAAACCAATGATTTTAACAGGTGTTTGGAATGAAGGGTGAAAGGTTTTACTCTTTAATAGGTGGGAGCAAATATAATTTGGGGCGGGTTTATTAATTGGGTCGGATTTGAGGCGAGTTTAATCAGTAATGAGTGGGTTTATAAATTATATTAGTTATTTAAATTATAACCAATGGTTGAGCGCCACGTATTTAAAAAATATTTAAATAATTTAAAGAACGAGGGTAGTTTTGTACCATTTTCAATATTTTGAGGGTATTTTAAACCCTTTTCCATTTTTTTTTATAAGAGTTGCTTGTTTATCTATTTATATATATTTTTTAAAACTTACCACAACATTAAAATGTGATAGCATACAATATATATATCATTACATCAATAATATAAAAATATGATCTTATCCACGGTCATAGATCAAAAGATTCAAAATTCACAATTGATCAAATAATAATAATTTCGACTTCGCACAATTAGTACTATACTAACTATAATAAAAGTGAAAAGCACTTAAGTTTGAAGTTGGCTTACTAAATTTTTATTTTTTTTGATAAAAGTATATGAATATTTAATAATACTTATTATTATAATTAAATAAAAAACTGAAACATATTAATCAATGTTGTGTCTTTTTCTTAATAGCTGTATAAATAACTGGTTTAAGTACCCTCCTAAGTAATCTTAATACCCTAACAATTCTAAATAGCATAATGGAGCTGTATTTTTTAAAATTGTACATGACGAACATTAAAAAAACATGTACAAAATTCCAGTGGTTGAAATTATTTTGATTAGCTGCAAGATGTGTAAAATTGTCTTTAATTGATCATTGGCACATAACCAACAAAAATTGGTTGTATAAAAAATAAAGACATAGCATAATGTTTCAATTTATCCATTTTTCCACATTGTGAGGTTTAACTGTAACTTTATGTGCAAGTGCAAGACAGTGTGTTGGGTGATTGTGAGCATTTTAATATTTTTTTTATTTATTAAAGTGGCTCAATCTAAGTGTATTTTAGTGTTGTATTGTCAATGACGTTGATGGTCACATAATGCTTATTATAGTTTGATATAAAGTGGTCTTTTATTTTCCTTATAACTTTTTATAACTTGATTTTTGGTTTTTTTTTATTGTTCGAAGTTCGAGACCTAACCCCAACCTAGACCAAGATTCAATCCCAACCCCGACTTGAGACCCCAACTCCGATCTCTACCTGAGGCCCGACCCCAACCCCAACCCTAACCAGAGACTTGACACCTAACCCTGACCCGACACCTGACTCCAACCAGAGACCCAAC